GACAACGGAAAAACACGACAATCGATGTTTTTTACGTACAGCTTCTAAACGCGTGGACTGATGGGCACCAAATGCTCGTCGCTTTGAACGAGACCCAGGGGACTAGTTTCGCGCCGTTCCCGATAGAGTGCGATACCCTCGGGATTCACAACATAAACTAGAACATTTTTAGACCCTAGCCAGTATTTGGATGTGTGTCTACAGGTTCAATACTTGTTACATGTTGTTTGGAATTGTACGGTCCAAATGGTATTTGGATGTAGTTAATTGCAAGGTCGGAATTGTCCCTTAGTTGGCACTCCCAGTACAGTTATTCCCTCTTTTAAATTTCATCTCAATATAAATGTATACTCTTCTAAGTGGCTAGGCGGAAAAGCAAGCGCTGTGGCATGAACCTCGCAATTAATAAAGACATTATTATTATTATTATTATTATTATTATTATTATTATTATTATTATTATTATTATTATTATTTTCACTGACTAGTTTGTATAATATAAGATTTGTTTCACTCATTATTTTGAAACAAATTAAAAATATTCAATAACAATCTTAATTACAAATTTATTGTCAGATTTTACTGTATATCTAAAAGTACTGACGTGAAAGTTGGCCATAGTTATGAGAGACAGTTTTCTGAAGAATTGCTGAAAGTGCTGTCAATTTCAGTAAAGATCTTTCAATGTGATTTTGTGCTTTTGATTTTATCGTTTAACAAACAAAAAAGCACATTCACATACTTGGACGTTTTTCAAAAATAATATGACACATCACTTGAAAAACACTATGATCATTCATGGCAGAGTTTATATAACCATCTTGATTCGGAAAATTTGTGTCACCAAAATTAGGTTACTAATTTTATATGGTTCATTTCAAATTATTTAATTACATTAAATTAATTTTACACACGTTTCTTTAATATTGTCAATTCAGGTTTTAAAATTAAAATAAATGTCACCCCCTGAAGGCGCGTAACAGAACCAACAAAATATATTTTAGGTACAGATTAGATTTTGTGCTACGATAGTTTTTTTTCTGGATTTTCTTAAAGTTGATTTCTCAAAAGTTTTTCTGTATTGTATTGGTCGAAAATTATTGTTGTAGTGTTAAATTATCTTAACTCTTATTTAGTGTTGAACGAATTACGTGATCCAGAAAGGCGAATTTACAACACATGCTCCTTTTTGACATACAGGACAGTTTGGGCAAACACGTGATGTAGTAGAAAAAGATTAAATTTTGAAATCTCTTTAGCTCTCCTGAGTTTGAGTCCTGTCAGAAACCATTACCTATTGCAGATAAATTTTTGCGTAACAGAATTTAATTCTCTTTGCATATTTAGACCCTCACCGGCATACTTTGTTCACTAAAGTCAGTTCTTTGTTGATAGGTGATCGATAAGCTCAACGTTTTTATGAGAACCCGCGTGGTCATTTGAGCGTACAGCGACGAATAGGGCAATCTGACAGAGCTCTGACAATCTCTTTCAAAACCACATGCATGGATGCTCCGGTGAAGCTCTGCATGAAACCAAAATGACGATGAACGATTTCCACAATGGCGAAGTTCCGTCGCATCAATATATCGAAGGACCATTGAGCGCAGATGCATGCCGCCTTTACATAATTTCATTTACTTCAAGTTACCTTCGTTCTGCAACATAAATGAATTCAGAATTAGCTCTATTGTAGTATAGATAATTAGGAATTCCTCGCAAGACTCGTCTATAAGTATTAATTTATTACACATACTTTAAACTAGTTGGGCTACAACAGCTCATATTTTCTCGAATTATTTGTACCTTTTTTTAATTTTGCAAGATTCAGAGCGTTCAACGAAAATGGAACCTGCGACATTTTTGTAAGCGTACTGATGGTTGTTCTGCCCTTCATCTCCCTCTGTCTCCTTCCCTCTCTCCTTCTCTCTCTTTTCGACCTTATCACTGACTCTGTCTTACTGTCTGTGTGTCATATCAATTTCCCTCTTATTCACAATTAGTTGCAGATTCTGCACATCTCTAAGCAAGTGGGGTAATATCGAGAAGCGCCGGACCCACAAAAATGTAATAGAATGTTCAAGAAGATCAGATGATCTCATCCTGTAGATTGCGGTGTGAGAAACGGTTCTTTTAGACATTTGACCTTAAAAGTTTAGTTTTAATGCCCTAGAACGCTTCGTTTGGAGTTACTTAACGCCATAGATTCAAAATTCTACCAAGTGCTGTGGGTTGCATTTGACATTAATATTTGATTTTATTCCACAGCAACATTTAGTGGAGTTACAACACAATGAACAGCACATAAACCTTCGGGGTAAAAAAACCCAGCAACATCTCATATATGTGCCAACTTTCATGGAGATAGGTCACAAGGTGTCGGAGTTAACCGCTCTTATAATAGAGGTGTATAATACGTAATACAATAATATAAGGGTGTTCGAAAGTGGAAACGTCGAAACTACGAAAATAAGCTCTTAAGACAATTTTCACTATAATTTTTTAATATATTCCTCGGATATTCTTAATACCTGTGCCACAATAAGCAATCAAAAGTTGTTTTGAAAAAGTACTTTCTATACAAAAATTTGCATTGCAGAAACATGTAAACACTCCAGAAATATGTAATTTTTTTTTTATTTGCTCAAGACTCAAACACTCATTTTGCTGAGAAAAGAAATTGGCATATAATATTCCTTTTTCAGTTGTGTTAATTCAAGAATCATGTGTGCTATTATTCAAAACAACACCAGTATGGGGTGATATGGCTAAAACTGAGTAAGAACTCCAGAGCAATTGCTCACGTCTACAAGTGGGAACTACTATTTCTCATAAGCAATTGCTTATTTTCATATGAATAAAAGGTTTCGTGAAACTTGGAGCATTTACTTTTCTGAGTAATTGCTCACTAAGCGATCGTGAGCGTGATGCATCGCGCGTGGTCTTTCCATCATGGCGTCGTGTTCTTTTTCCTGACGGTGTCGACCGTGTTAGGTTAAGTGGTACAGTTGACGTGCATTGTTGGCGATCGTAGGAAAACTTTCATCATTCATACACGCACTACTTAAAACCTCACAACAGACTTGTATAACCTCTTTCGTATCCATTCAACGCGATTTGAGTCACCTGTAGAGATTGCTTCGAAAATTCGAAGTAAATGTTTCGCATTAGAGACAAATTCTCGACTTCATTCATACGAAAAGTAAGCAATTGCTCCTCGGCCGAGCAGTTAGTCACTAATGGAGAAATTGTTCAAAATAAGAGCAATTACTCACGCCTTTTATTCACACTGTTTGAAGCAATTGCTTTGAAAACTCAAGAAAGAAGAAATAACTAATTTTTATTGATAGCACCCATGGTGACTAACTAGAGCACTTGGAATGATCATCTAATCAATTACTCTTTTTCTTTACAGAAAAGAAGCCCACAGACATTTCCAGCTCAATTTTATACGCTTATTATATCGTATACTTGTAAGTAAACGCATATTTTTGAATTAGATAAGAAAAAATTGACTAATGAATTCAATACGTCTTACTCATACAAGCAAAAGGAAAGTAATCAAGCTTTTTCTACAGAATAAGTTTTTCTCTACAAACTACTATGATATGATATAAAGCAGTTCCTTCGCCTTATTTTAATATTTTCTGTACACTGCCATAAATAACTACAGTAGTATAAATATTTACGCGAGAATATGTTGTAAATAAGATGCAGATTTTTATGAAATGTCATTTTTCATTTCACTTTTGAACAATGCCGTTTATCATAGAAATTAAGTTTATGTACTGACAAAAGATAATCACCGATTTTTATGTAATTTTGTTTTTTTTTGTATTATCGCTGATTTGAATTAATTAGTTATTTTTACGGTTTTCCGTCATTTTCAACGCTTTTTCCCTAATGTAATCGATTTCAATATAATTTTAATGGTACTTGCTTCAAATAAAATTTATGAAATGCAAGAAATGTTTTCCTCAGAATTTCTGAGTATCCTATTCGATTCCTTTGCTGAGAAATTGTAATGTCAGATATTGTGATTATGTGACTCTTTCCAGCGTCATTGTTGGTTCAGCCGATTTCTGGATAACTAAAGACAGAGATTTCGTCGTAAAGAACAATCCATATCGAAAGTTCGACAGTTGAGTTTATTTGGACAAATAGAAGCAGCCTCAATTACATCAGTTACGTATCCAACAGCTTGAGTTATTCATCGGAACTGTTATTGATCATATTATCAACGTCATTTTTCTTTGCTATTAGGGCACTTTGTGAACATTTTATTGCTCATTTTTGGCAGTGTTTTATGTTGTCAAAGTCCGAACCATAGTTATAAATATATAGTAAGGAACTTACTATATATTTACTAATAAAAGATCGCAAAATGACCATTTGAAAATGTATGGCGATGGGCCTGTTATGGGCCTAACAGAAACGCAGTTTTATTTTAGTTTGTTTCACATAACGACAATTCCCGGAACGTGTATTTGTTAACTCGTATCTAAAATATTTCATTTTGACACATAGACTAAATTATAACCAAATATGTAAAACAAATAAGTATTAACAGGAATAGTATATAACAATATGTAATTATACTCAAATATATAAAAATATGTAAAATTAAAATTATTGCCGGTCCGGTGGCCGAGATCGTTAATGCAGTAGTGCTGTAGCAATCTCCGGCGGAAGGATCGCGGGTTGGAGTCCCGCATGGTTTATTTGTGTTCGTCCTTTTACCCCCCCATTCATAACCATATCGTCTTTACAGTACAGTACGGTAAATACAATAGGAGTCACTAACGACCTAGATGTTAATAAGACCTTACGTAATCAAAAAATTGGTTTTCATTCATTGATGAAGTCATGGAAACTAAATAAATTTCTTGTGACTATAAAATAGGTATTTACATGAAAATCCGTTTCTTAATTATAAAGGTAAAGGACAAACCTAATCTAGTGATGATTTTGTTAACACAGAAAGAACTCCACTGTTTAATATGGCTTCGCCAGACGAAGTTATGGAAACTAGTGACCTGGATCACCAAGCTCAGTCTGAGGAAATAAGCCTTGATCTGTCAATGGAACGTCTCAACATCAGCGATGAAGAAAAAGTATCCCCTGCCACAGAAACTCCAGATTGGATCATCCCTCCTTGGAAACTCAAGGCTTCAACATCACATAGTGATGTAGATAACATGCATTATTTCTACGGAGAACGTGTCATGACCGTTACTTTCAATTCTCGAGATTATCAAGTCGATTTGAAATATCTCACAAAACATAGTCACAAACGTCAATGCAAACATCGTCATCATCATAAGAGCCATAATCATCACCATCGTCATCATCATAAGAATCATAATCACCACCGTCGTCACCGACCTAACTGCCCACACTACAAACCAAAATCACCAACACCATCTGAGTAATGTGCATCAGGCATGAGATTAATATATAAAATGTGGTGTGTTGCAATTTCACCAATCTTACGCAAAGACGTATTCCCAAAGTAAAAGATTACTGAGGTGATCTAGTATTTTAAAAAATTAATATTTTTATGCCAACATAATTTTTCATTTTTGTGTAAATAAACGTAGTTTTCCATTAAAAATATTGATCAACGATGACATATTATACTTGAATGTACTGTATAAGAATCAAACGCTATAGAGTTTGACTTTCTTTCGTGAATTTTAATATTCTACTCTTACATAAGACTAGAAACTGATACTTACATCGGCTTCTTCCGTACAAGTCATCACCACAAAAGTTATAATCACTAAAGGGATCATCTTCATCATCGGTCACCATACCTACTTTCAATTTTGTTCAAAGTTTGAAGAACATCATAGAAACGAACCCAATAATGAACACCGTTCATGAGATAGAAAATGAAACGTTAGAATTGATACATTTTTGGAACTAAATTAGTTATCAATTATGTGTGTACTGAAGCAGAGTTATTTGATTTAGTTTTTTTATGTAAACATATTTGTATATTTTAGTTTATGTTCCCAATTTCTTTAATGTTCAATGATTTTTTTCTTTGTAATGTACCAGTTAACATGGTATTATACTAGTGGCTTGATGCTCATTAACATGTAATGAATCAATGTGAAAATAATTTCATGGTCAATATAAGAAAATAATTAGTCATACTGGAATTCAAAAACTTTATTCCGAGACTTATTGCACATTTGTATCGAATGATGTATTTAGAACAGCATAATGAGATGAATATTAGCATTTAATAACTGTAAAGTTTGATTTTAAATACAATTTCGGACCTGCTCTTTATATATTCAAACACTAAGACAACAATCACCTAGGGTGACATATGGAATATAAGACTTCTATGTTGCAGATCGTGTTTGGTTCATTCCAAACATTATTCCGTATTTTTTATTTCTGAAAACAGAAAAAAACAAATGAGTAGTACACAATCTGCAGTAAAGTTTGAACATTCTTCAGAAGCGGAATGTAAAAAAAAAAATTGTTGATATATTTATTAGTTAACATAAAGCAGTTAATTTTATGTACTTCATAAAAATACTTGATTTTAATTTGAAATGAAGAATTCAAGGTTTTGAGAAAAAATGTAATAGTAATGTAGACACATTATTTATGAATGTATGAAAAATAACTTATTTTTCAGTAAATTACTATTTTGTGTGGATAACTTACCTATCATTATTTCATTTGTAGACTTTTCCCCAAATCTCCCGAAATATATATCGTAATATTCACATTTGCCTGAAATAAAAAGACGCAAAATAAATAAACAAATAAATATGTATTATTACATTTTAATGTAGGAAATAATGAAGTTCAAATGATTTGAAACGTCAAAAAATAACTGCATGTGGCTCCTCGTAAATACTGTTTTTGTGAAAAAACTTTTTTCAAGTGAACATTGGAAATTAGATTGAACGACAATTGGATTTCCTTTTACAGTGGATTACAAATGTAACTGTGTGCACAAATACAAAAACATTTTGACAATAACATATGAATTATATTAAGTAGTATGTTTGCTCCCTAGTATGAACGAGAGGTAGACTAATATCTGCACAGAATTTTATCAATTCTCTTCACACTACAAGTGATACAAGAGAACTGGACGGGTATTTATTTCGTCGGTCACTAGTATTCGTGCAAAGCATAACGAAACTGAGTGCAACAAGAGCACATATTTTCTCGCTTTATATCTAAATGCTTCGAAATATGCTAGTATATTAAGCAGCAAAAGTCTTTCCAACCAGCATTTTTTTTTGGCCGAGACTCGAACTCAGGTACTCAGGTTACCTCACCGTGCGCCTTACCGAGCTAAGCCATGGAAACTGCCCAATCGAGCGGACGTTTGAAAATCGAATTGTCTCAACCCAATATTTCCAATTCGCAAATGAAATTACAGAGATAAACAAAAATCAAACCTCTACCATTCTTTTAACGTCCCTCGTTTTACTTGTGGAAAAAATTGGGGCGATTTTTGTGCAAATGTTTTTTTTATAATTTTCCTTAATTTCAACCAGAAATTATGTTAAATCTAGTAGTTTCACAAAAAAATTTACACATTTTCCAAGAGCTGATTTTTTAGAACAAATAATGTTGCAGATAAAAATCAGTATCTTCATTTCTGAAGTTGGAAATTGTTAATTTTTTGCAATTTTCGAAAATACGAAGAGTTTACCCAAGATGGCACTAGCACCAAATATCTGAATATATTTCAAAATATTGCAGTGGTTAAAAAAAATATTATTTAGAAATTGCAGAAATTTCTCCATAACTACTTGTATTTTCGAAAAATTGTTCGTTCCCTTACTTCAAGATATCTTTAAAGAATAGAGTACATTAAGGAAAATAATATTTATCATCAATATTGTAGTAGTAGGATGCAGCCGAAAAATTTAACTTTTGCAATTTACGAAATAATGAATTCCAATAAAAACGAAATCTGCACCATTCCTCTAAACGTCCTTTACGCTATCCAAATACAAAGGTTAATCACAAAAATTGGAGTAATGTTTGAGAAAATGTTGAGAATGTTGAGGTTGCATTTAAATTTCCCTCAATAATCAAATTAGCCGTTTGAAACTCCCAAAGCCTGCTCGAGTTCGTTCAGATTGACCGGAAAATATCAATTTTGAAAAAAAATGAAAAAAAAATTAAAAAACGGTTGAACGGTTTATGTGCTAGCGTTGAACACACACACACACACACACACACAGATACGCTTTACCGTCAATTTGTTTTCGGTATCAAGGACTACCAAAACGTAGATTGTGATCACTCCACGTGTTAGAGGAAGTTATTTACTATACACCGTAATAGGATTTAACCACTTTTTCGTTACCAGGATCGAGCAAGAGTTTCTCTGTCACATTTTGCCGTTTTCCGGCGAACGATCAAAATACTTTTTTTTCTTCTTACGATGTAAAAGCGCGGAAGTAAATATCACAGATGTGCGCCGTTGAGTCGACTAAAATGCGAAAGAAAATATTTACATATATTGACAACCGCTCTCGCTATTAAAAATTATTTTTCATAATAATAATAGTTAGTAAACAAATTCTTCGATTCAAGAAAACTTGTGCAGGGAGGTAGAGTAAATGAGTGCAGTCGATTCTGGGGTACAGTGTGATATACCGGGATGCCACACGGGGGGTATTACGACGGAATTGATGCATCGAGAATGTTAAAATACAAGGAATACGCATAGCATTGCAACGAACTAACAAACACATAGACGTGCCGTGGTGCATGCTAAAAACGGAAACTATTGTCGAGGTACGTCACGGCCTCGTGTCATTAACATGGAATTGATGAGGGGAGGGCGTTGAAAATTTAGCTCTAGCAAAATGTATTATACGCGCACGTTTTCTTCAGCTCCGGAATACCTACCCCCACTCCTTTGCCAACATTAGTTGAATTGAAAATAAATGATAGCAACAAGCGTTGTAGGCAAAGTCTGGTAAGCAGAATTGTTCGCTCCTGTGTAATAGAAACTATTTTTCTTCGAAAAATGAACAACAAATTTGATGTAAAATTTCCTTTTGTGAAAAAAAGAAGCTTCTCACTCCTCTCGTAAATAGCGAAGCAAGGGCTGAAGAAAACGTGCGCGAATAATAACAAATTCGCATTCTTACGGAAGCAGCCAAGTATTTCAGATAGAAATGAAAAATATAACATATTAATTAATATACAATATAACATATAATTTTGCATATAACATATAATTTTGCAATAGCAGATTTACGTTGTGGGTAAATATTTATTTGATCAGTCCATAATAGTATAGGCTAAGCAGTATTGTTTATTGGGGTGTAAAGTGGGTAAATTTATGCGTTTCTTTTAATGATTGTTACATTTGTTGTCATGCAGGAATTTTGCATTTTAAATGTTTGGCCTTCGTGTTCGTGGGTTTACATGAGGATAGTTCTGTAGTGGGAATTTTAAAGTGTTAAGTTTGAAGGAAATAGTAGTCGGGAATAGAGGATTCACCCGAAGCCTAGTGAGGGAAAGTCGTGACGCGATCATATCAAGCAAATTTAGGCAGTTCTGAGTAGTGGACTGTGTAATTAGCAACAGTCGAGAAACATTTACAGTTACACGGACATTAGGCGAATAGAGTATCGCACAGGAGGACCCAGAACATCCCCTTTTGGAGAAGACTGCGACATCAAATCAACCGAGAAGATATTGTGTAAGCGTACGAACTTTTTATCAAAACAGTACGGTATACCAATGTTTAAAGGTAATTGAAATATTAATCAATAACGAGCTCGAACATGTTATTAGAATTTTACAATAAATGCTAATTGTTGTTTGAAAAGAAAAGGTTGATCTTTCATTGAATTCAGTAGCTAGTAAATTCCACAGAAGTTCCAGGAATCGTGATTTCTGTACAGAGTCACACATCCTCTTGCAACAGGTAAGGTGCCGTATGTTTGAAGTTGAACTCATGCAATATTTTAAAGAAAAAAAACAGAGTTAGTTAAACTATGAGTTATTAGGGGAGTTGATTTACGAGCATAGCAGGGCAAATTAAATTAGAAGAATAGTTACTTGGCTGCCCAGCTTGGAGCATGATAAATTAAGATTAATTAGTAACATTCAATGTTAATGCACATTACAAAATATCTGCCCAACGCTGGGCAAGGTAATCGTGAACAATAAGCACGTTAAAATAAATTTTTATTTATAGCGAACTGATGTCATTGATCCTAATCAATTCACAAAACACATAAGCCCTCAGACTGTCGGTCATAATGAAATTTCAACATCCATTTTAGTGAACACAATAAATACTTAGAGTTACTAAGGGCTAAAATTGCATTAGTAGTGTACATTCAGAGGACTATAAGTGTGCAGATTGACGGTTGTTGGGAGTAATTTTCACTTTCTCTATTTTCTGCATGGGTAGTAAAGAGAAAGAAATGTAGTCGTGGGGTGGGAATCGGGGATTTCCTTGACGGAAAAATCGTCTGAAGGGACTTCTAACGAAAAAGCCAATATATCTCGTTCCTACATATAGTAAATTTCTTCCTCTAACAAATTGTGTTAGCAGAATCCACCTTTTGTGGGACACTGAAACCAAACAGTCGATTGACGGCAAAACAAGAATGCCTGTCTGCAGGCAACGCTAGTGCCTTAACCTTTGAAAGAGGGATCTATCTGCAGGAACTGGAGGCCCTAAGGGTTTGAAATATTTTAATTTTTGGAGGTACTTTACAGGAAGCATGACAATATATTCCATAATTTTCTAAAAAAGGTTCCACATTTTTTTATTACGTTTTCTCGTCGGACAACGTGAGGACGCTTAAATAAATGGCGCAGGTCTATCCGTCGAAATCTCTTAATTTTTGCAAATAGCAAAAGGTAGTATTTCCTTCGGAGTGGCAGGGACAAACTTCGAGCCTCCGAGTGGTCTCCTTACATATGTGGTAGTGTAGTACAAGTAAGTCGAAGTGTGTATGAGTAAAAGGCAAGGAGGGGACTAAGTCCAGAAAGGGCAGGTCGCGCTCGGTCTGTACCATACTGCTACGGTATTTAACTCGCAATGGTAGGAGAAACCACGGAAAACTACGTATCAGAGAAGCCAGTAGCTAGAACTCGCGCGTGGACTTGTTGAAATCGACCGAGCCGTCTAGCTAGTGTTGAAAGTCCACAAATGTTGGGTCTCGACCGATTGAGTTACTTTAGAGCCAGCAGTGCTGCTGCCTCCGCACTACCACCAGCCAGGAGCTCCTATGCTTCGAGTCCGGATGGAGGCAGATTTTCGGCACTAGCTATATAGCTGAGGCGAATTCAGTTGCTGTCTTGAGAACTGTAAGGCCCGGCTGCTTTGGCCAGTAGTCTTTTTTGTGGTTCCTCTGATCTGCACCAGGCGAATACCGGAGTAGCACCTAACAAACGGATTACGGACCACACACGCTCTTTTCGTTTTCCTTGTCCCATCCTCTCTCCTTACACACGCATTCGGACTTACGTGGATTACACTACATGTCAGAAGTCCAATCGGGAATTCAGAGCGTGGCCCAACTGAGTCGGTGTCCCAATGGAGGAAATACCTGGTGGAGGGAATGCCCCACAAACCGACAAGTATGTCTCAGAGTACCTCCCTGTGTTTAAAAAAGTCTGCACTAACTGGACTAACGACCTTGCAGTTGACGTTCCCGGAAACAGCAATCAATTAGGACTCGAATCATTGGACTTGACTATCACCCTTGGCAACGAATGTCATAAATGAGCCA